TAATCTGACAGCAAAATCATTGAATTGAGCCCAGCAGACACAGGGCTTCCCTCACCATGTGAGCCCAGTCCTCTGAGCACGAGCTGCAAAAAAAAAAGTCTGTTTTCATTAGTGAAGAAGAGTTTAAAACGATGGAAATTAAATCCTCCATTAGTAAAAAAAATAAAATAAATATATATATATATATATATATATATATATATATATATACTTTCTCAGCTGCCTTCAATATAAGCAGTGCAAACCAGCAGAAGAAGCTGCAATGTGGAGATTTCAAGAACGCTGCAAGATATTTCTGATACGCAGTTCAGATTCAACACGTTTGACTAACTAAGCGAAACTAGAACACATCAAATTCATGAATTTTATCTCAGGGATTCCCCCTAGACACCTAACCTCACCTACGTTAAAAGTGTCAAGCACGAATTATAGTATCTAAAAGTATCCAGAGAAGCATCTGCACTCCACAACTGCAAGCCAAAGAGGAACACAAGGAAAGTGGGAACAAGGCAGAAGGAGGTTCCCAGTTTTCTGACGCATCCGCTGCACTTCATAATTCCATCTCTGGTCATTACTGCTGTTTGCATTGATGAAATGCAGGACTCCGGTGAGAGCACTAGCTAACTATTATCTGCGTCACACGTGAGAAGAGTCAATGCTCTCAAACGCTCACTTTCTTCGTCTCGCTCTACTACACATATCTTTTTTTTTTTTTTTTTTAAAGAACGTAACAATCTCAAATACAAGCAAGCTGACACTTTTCCTTCCCACCTTTTATTCCAGGAGCAAAAACAGAAGGAAAAGGAAACTAAACAGGAAAAGCAAAAGGAATAAACTCACCATCACCGAGGAGAGCTACTCCACGCTCTGCCTGTATGAAGTGTGTGAGTAAATGGGATGTTTAGATATTTTTTAACGTTCCAGCGAGAGAAGGCGAGCTGAAGTCCAGGCTCGAGAGAGTGGGCTGCACGCGTGCGGCGGGAGGAGAAAAGGAGAGATGGCTGAACGAGTGTGCCTCAAACAGACGAGCACTTGCTCTCCTCTCTTTCCAACCCTGCCATAGCAAAACAAAACGCCCACGCTTCTCTTTCTCTGCTCTGACCCCAGCGCGCTCGCTCGTGCTCTTGCTCCTTCTCTGTACACAGACGGAGAGACAGCCCCTTCAGAATGCAGCCAGCCAATCAGAGACGGACTCTGTTTCTCAGCCCAGCAGTACACAACCACTCAAACATACACAGAGAGAGAGAGAGGTGAACGACAGGAGACAGAAAACAAGCAACAGGATGTTAGTGTGGGGCAGAGGGAGAAGGGTGTATATGAACACAAACACAAAGATTAGAGACAAGATTAAACAAGAACGGAGAAACAAGAAAGATAAGAAAAGAGACCAATAAGAGACCAAAACAGAAAAAACAGGGAACAATGGGACAAGAAAAGAGAAGAGGTGAGACCAGAAGAGGAGAGACTGGATGAAAGAGGAAAAGAAGGTGAGGTGAGATGAGATAAGGAGAAACAAGAATAAAAGTGAACAAAGAAGGAGAGAAGAGAGATGAGAAGATAAGAGACAATAACACACCAAAAAAGAGAAAACAGAATAGACAAGAGGTGAGACAAAAACAGATGAGACAAGATGAGACAAAAAAAGAGAAGATATGAGACAGCATGAGAGTAAAAGAGAAAGGAAGACAAAAGAGGAGATAGGACAATAAGAGAGAAACAGAGACAGATGAGAAGGGAAGAGACTAGATGAGAACAGAAACAAAGACAAAAAAAATAGAAGAGAAGTTAGATGAGAGGACAATAGACAATAAGATAGAGACCAAGAAAAGAGAAGAAAACACAAGAGACAAACTGAGACAAGAAGAGAAGTAGTGAGACAGACCGAGAGAAGAAGACAGTAGAAGAGAACAGAAAAGGGAAGAAAAGAGACGAGACAATTAGAGGACAAGAGAAGAAAAGAGGTGAAACAAAAAAAGACTAGGACAGACGAGAGGTGACCATAAGAAAAAATGAGACTAGTTGAGACAAGGTGCGACAAGAAAAGAAAAAGGGAGGGGGGCGAGAGGAGAGTAGGAAAGAGAAGAAGAGAGACAAGAAAAAAAGTGAGATTGAGAACAAAAGAGACAGTGAGAATAGAGAATAAAAAGACAAGATGATGCAAAGACAAGATCTGAGACAAGTAGAAGACATGAGAAGAGACAAGAAAATAAGAAAAGGAAAGATGAAACAAGATGAGACAAAATACAAAAGGTGAGAGGAGTGTTTTGAGTTGATTAGCTGATTGGCATGTCACCATATTCTAATTTGTTGAGATAGTGAATTGGTGGGTTTTTGTTAAATGTGAGCCAAAATCATCACAATTAAAAGAACCAAAGACTTAAACTACTTCAGTCTGTGTGCATTGAATTTATTTAATACACGAGTTTCACAGTTTGAGTTGAATTACTGAAATAAATGAACTTTTCCACGACATTCTAATTTATTGAGATGCACCTGTACATGAGAAGAGAAGAACTTCAAGAAGATGAAACAAGAAGGGAGAAGAGGCGAGAAGAGATGAGAAAAAAGTGAAAAGAGATGAGACAAGAAGAGAGACGAGAAGCTGGGAAAATGTTTATGTTGCAGTCACTGAGGCGCAGAGAGTGCAGAGGTGTATCTCTGCCATACAGCTCTAATTTCCCCTTCTCTCTCTGTTAATGTTTGTGCTTTTCCACTGAGACAACAACAACACACACAAACACACACACACACACACACACACACACGGCATTTCCAACCTCATTCTGCTAAAAAGAATGTCAAGATGCAAATCGTGCTGACCGTATCTCTACATGTGAACCACAGGTGCTTGTTCGGCTGAACTTTTACAAATTTCAGACATCTGAAGAAAACTGGACAGGAAGTAAAGTAAAATAAAATAACATACAAAAATAAAACAAAATAACAAAAAAAAAATTAGTAAAAGGTTTATCAGTTATAGGTGTGATGCTGAAAGAAATGAAGACAAATGAACATGATCCAGGCAGCTAGTCTGTGGCTCGGGCCAGTGGTCCAGTGAGAGCAGGAGAGTGGGTGGCTACATATGCAAGCGCATATGCCTGAGTGTGTCATTTTATGTTCAACAGAAGAAAAAAAAAAAACTCATACAGGTTTGGAACAGCCTGAGGTTGAGTAAATGACAATTCTCTTTTTGGGTGAATTACCCCTTTAAATCTGCACATTTTTTGAAGGATACCATTGGGCAACATGGAATACCTGTTAGATTAAAGGGATAGTTCACCAAAAAAAATTTAATTACCCCATGATTTACCCTCAAGCCATCCTAGGTGTATATGAGTTTCTTCATTCAGACAAATAGTCAGCTTTATAATGGCAGTGAATGGGGGTCGAGATTTTGAAGCCCAAAAAATGTCCATCCGTCATAAAAAGTGCTCCACATGGCTCCGGGGGATTAATAAAGGCCTTCTGAAGTGAATCAATGTGTTTGTGTAAGAATAATATCCATATTTAAAACTTTATAAACCGTATACTGTACACGCGTTCACGTGAGAGTGGTGCACCAGCGGATGATGTAGGACAGGGGCCTCCAAACTCGGTCCTGGAGGGCCAGTGTCCTGCAGAGTTTAGCTCCAACCCTAATTAAAAACAAATACTTACTAGGCATACTATAGACTTCCAGGCAGGTGTGTTAAGGCAAGTTGGAGCTAAACTCTGCAGGACACCGGCCTCCAGGACCGAGTTTGAAGATCCCTGATGTAGGACGTAGGTGTAGCGTAAGCTCTGGTGAGAATATGCTAGCTAGTCTTGTGAGAACCAAGTTTTGTTTACAGCAAAGGAAAACCAGTCTCCTCCATCCTCGTTTTGTATCTCTAATTTGTGACACACAGTGTTTTGCTTTGCTCTTTCCTCTGCGCTTCTGCGTTCGTCACTTCTCACCAGAGCTTACGCTACGCTTACGTCCTGCATCATGCTGGAACGTCACTGGAACGTCACTCTCTCGTGAACGCGCGTACGACAGTTAGCGGAAGCTAGAGGTTATGGTTTATAAAGTTTTAAATATGGTTATTATTCTTACACAAACGCATCACTTCACTTTATGAATCCCTCAGAGCCGTGTGGAGCACTTTTTATGATAGATGGACGCACGTTATTGGACTTCAAAATCTCAAACACCATTCACTGCCATTATAAAGCTGGGAAGAGCCAGGACATTTTTTAATATAACTCAGATTGTATTTGTCTGAAAGAAGTAAGTTATATACACCTAGAATGGCTTGAGGGTGAGTAAATTATGGGGTAATTTTCATTTTTGAGTGAACTGTCTCTTTAAAGAAATAACCATAAAAAACATCTCTAAAATGCCCACCATAATACAATGCAAAAGCTCTTCAGAAGGCGCCATGAGCCCTGGACCGGATGCTGCTTGTGTATGTGAGGATTTTCCCATAAGCTCAGAACAGGTGGGTACGAGGTTGGTGTATCCTAGTGGGCAGAGCTCTGAAGCCCAGCGAGCTATGACGCCCGAGTGTTTTTATACAGCCATGTGCCAAAACTGACAAAACCACAGGCTGCTTCCTCCCAGCGACCACACCCACAGCCAAAGGTAGACACACTAACAAAACACTAATGTTACGGCCTCAGCTCTGTGAAGACTGTACCAATGTGCCAAAAGGCCACTGGGCAAAACAGCAATAACACATGTGTACACACCATAGTGATGCCATCTGTCTGCCTCACGGTGTGCAGCGAGGACTGAAAATCCAGCCAGTTCAGGGCATTTTCAGTGAGGAGTCGTAATCGCTCTGGATTTGTGTGTGTAGAGGGGTTTTACTGCACTGTATCGAAGGATCTCATGATGGCATACATCACACACATGTGTATGAACAGCAGACTCACTCTGCCAGATAAACACACATCACTAATATCTCCAGATATCTCCTAAATTTGCTGTGATACGGTGAACTTTGACATAAGTGTGGCTGCATGCTTGTGTGACTTACGTTGAACAGATTGGTCTTATTCCTCTCGCAGAAAAGTCCTTGTGCCGGCATGTGCTTCAGCTGTTGCCATGGGACACTGCTCCCTAGCAACACGTCTCGTGCCCATTGCAGGTTCTGTGAAAACACAAACATATTCAGTCAGCTCTGTATGCAGGAGGGTGAGAGAGTGTGTGATGACTTGAACCGAGTGAAGTCGGAGGAAAACCTGCCCACTTCACTCGCACACACACACACCTGATGGAATACTAGAGTCCTGCTGAACTGCGCAGTATATACTATTTAATGAAAAAGTAGGCCGTATGTGAAACAGTATGCAGTAGGTGAGGATAAACATTTCAATTAAACACAGTGTAGACTTTGCTGTAGTACGCAGTGATTCTCTCTAGTTTTGAGAAAACAGTATGCATTAGCTAGCAATGAACATTTCAAACTGTATCACACTACACTGTCATGTGACTTTAATTAATTATGCAGTTATACACTATAGTCAACATTTGAAGTGGATCAAAACCTTTCATCAAAGTTGTCCTAAAACCAAAATACATTCTTGTCTTAGGACAACTTTGATTCACTTTTTTGATCCACTTCAAATGTTGACTACTGTATATTGCTTACGCTGCAGTGTCATGTGACTAATGAAGTATGCAGTGATAGTACATACTGAATGCTGCCAACTAGTTTTGAGAAAACAGTATGTAGTGATAAATACAGTATCTGAAAGTATTACACTACATTGCCACATGACTTTAATGCAGTATGCTGTGATTATTAGTATATGCTGTATATTACCTACTAGTTATACAGAAAATAGTATGTGACACAGTAGGTAGTGATAAACATTTCAAACTGTATTACGCTGTACTGTTAAGTTTGCAGTGATAGAACAGACTGTGCATTGCCTACTGGTTTTGAAAAATGTCAAAAGGCATGCAGTAGGTAGTAATCATTTCAAATTGCAGTTTGCTACATTACCAACACATGAAATCTAGTACTTACACTGCCTGTTGTTTTTTAAAAAGGTATGTGAAAGAGCATGCAGTAGGCTCCTTACTGCAATGATAGTATATACTGTGTAGTGTGTACTGCCAGCCTGATTGTTTTTTAACAGGTGTGTCAAGTGTAGTATACTGTGATGTATACCGCCTACTGAGCTTTTTAAACATAATATGTGAAATTGTATGCTGTAGGTAACAATAAATGTTCTGAAATGTAGTATGCTGATTTTTTTATACTGCATCCTGTGTATGCATAAACTGAACACTGTGTTTTTTTTTTGAGAGAGAGCTTTTCTTTTAAGGTGATGAGACGAGTAGGCCAAGTACGGTAACCCATACTCAGAATTTGTTCTTTGCATTTAACCCATCCAAGTCTACACATACAGCAACATTTGGGTTACAAGTCCGACGCTAACCATTAGGCCACTACTCTGCCGTGCAAAGGCAAAAGACTGTAACTTTGATTTTTGTCGAAAATGAGTTATTGATATTTTTGGGACATTCAAGACATCCTTTATCATGTGCATAAATATCTTCTTCTAAAGAGTACATTTCGTTGTTTTTCCGAGAAAATAATGGGTTGTCTCAACCGTAACTTCGAAAAGCCTCGGAGAACCCAAGGCAGAACACCGTATAACAACAGTTACGGCTATTTCACTTTGTTTGGAACGCTCAAATTGAGTTATGGCATCTGCCTTTGTTTAGCCGTGCGTCAAAATGAAGTTACGGTGCTGGCTTGGAGTTATATGGTGTTCTGCCTTTTTCTTTTTCCTGTCCATTAAAGTCTGCCACATTTTAATTACGGTGTAGACAAACAAATTAGATAGATCGCGATCTACCAAACAGCTCCATATAACAAAGCACTGTAAAGACTAGGTATCTTGGCAGCAATACGTAATAACCTTTAAAGATTTTTTTTTCTTTTTGTAATGCAGATTTTTCACCAGGCTGTCACTTAGTTGGACGTGTGTGGACTCGAATGCCGTAGCTAGCATGATCAATCATAAAATCATTAGCCTACTAACAGTTCGCAATTAAATCCATATCCTACCTTTTCTTATAACCTGATCAAATCAATCCATGGCAATGAACATCATCGGAGATGTTTAATCCACAAGCATTCTGAGCATTATTCCTGCTTGCTGGCGTTCACATCAATCCATAAGTCGTTCTTTTAGTTTAGGCTATTTAATATAAAAGTCAATATAAAAGCAATTATGCTGTCTAACATTCTTTTACGTTAATGAGCATAGCAAATAAATTGGTATCCACTGTATCCACTCACATGTTTACATTTTAGTCTGCTTGTTACGGTCAAAAAAAAAAGAGAAAACATTAATACAGTCACATTAGTATATGCAATAGCCTATATGAGATAGCCCATGATCACTAGATTTTATACAGGTGTTACTATAACGATTTTGTAAATGGTGATCAGCAACCAAATATTGATAATGTGGAAGTTACTGCCTTTTGGCTTGGTGTGACTTCTCATGTTTTGCAGACAATGCAAAGGCAGAGTACATTAACTTCAAAATAGGGGTAAAAATCAAGTCTGAACTCACAATTTTTTAATGTCGATAATTTTCATTACCAAAACATCTAATTGTTAAATTTCCAGTGTCCTACCTATAATTAATTTGGCTGGACAAGCAAAACAACTTTAAAGTAATTTTTCGCAGTTGCACACTCTAGCGAGTTAAGGTCTTTTGCCTTTGTAGGGCAGAACTGCCCCGTTTCAAATTAAATTATGCTATTCTATTGTCACATAACCTCACAAAATATGATTTTGCATTTAGTCCAATTTTGAGTTAAAAATTCTTCTAGTAGTCAGGGTTGCCATGTCTGTGTAACTACTGTGTGCAACTTAAAACTAGCAAAATCACGGTCAAAACTAGCCCAATAGCATTCTGGGGCAAACTGGCTATTATATTCACTCCAAAATTGTGTTCTGGGGTGGAGGGAGTGATGGCAGGGGTTGCACTTCAACCGTGGACTAAAAACACAACCCACGGCAACTGTATGAATATAACCCAATTCCACAGAAAAACTTGGGACTTGGCAACACTGCTTGTTAATTTGTCACACTGGAAATCGGTTAAATCCCATTGCATTGTGGGACTGCAAATACAGTACTATTAATTTTAATCTAACCAAGCAGGTCATCCAGATATTCTATACATAAAAACTTTGCATGACCTGCCTTACTGAACCCAGGAAAATACAGAAACAACTTTAAAATGTAGACAAACCATTACAGCTAAAGACTGAATGCTAATCCAAACTCTTGTGACACTCCAATATAATTACACTGTATCATCCCATCAAATCCATTTCCACACCGCTAATTCGCCGTTAATGAACACATAACATCAGAGCGCTGCAGTCTTCTTTATTAGGATACAGACACACACGTATCTCTCACTGTATCTCACACACTGTACAAAAGAGAGCTCAAATGCTGTTTGGGGCCATTCACTAAATCCAAGATCTAAATTTCCATGCTTTCGCCTTGGGAACGAGTCGGGTGCGATTAAATATGTTGTGGCGATTATAAAATCTCATGGTGGGGTGATTAAATTTCAGAGCTGAACAATCTCTGCTCAAAGATCAGACAGATTTCTCAGTGTGAGGGGATGGAGATGACATACGTGAGTCCGTTTGGTAAGAAAGTGTCTGAAAAGAGCACAAACACGTGCAATGGAGAGAGAGAGAAAGAGACTTATAGAGAAAGAGAGAGATGGCATGATATAGTGACTCCAAGTCTGACATGTAAAATAAATATTGAATAAACTATTGGCTCATTGTGCATGCAATCATAATGAATAAGAACCGAAACTTCCAAGCTTCAAAAAAGGATGCACTATAACAGTATTTATTTCAGGTCTTCTCTTATAATAGACTGAAATTTTAAGTCATTATTCAGTAATAAACAGAGGTTGCACTGGTGCCACTAACCAGTTTGATTAACCTATAAACACTGCCATTTCTGTTGCGTTTGAGAAACATTAAACAGCAAACGGGCCAGAAGCGGAACAAAACCACACCACACTGGCCAATTATCAGTTAGTCTGGAGCCCTGTAGATTGAAATTTAAACCATTATTCAATGATAATCTTCCTCTCCAATGAGCTGTTAACCATTGCTTTAAAAGCAAGTACTTCTGTACTTTTACTCAAGTAAAAATCTGTCTTTACAACTTTTAATTGTAATGGAGTAATATTTGACCAGCAGTATCTGTACTTTCACTCAAGTAATGGAGTTGAGTACTTTGTCCGCCTCTGGCGATTTGTGAATAAATCATTGGGATGGGTACTGTGAAGTGGATCAGCCAATTCATTGAAAAGATCTGACTCAAAGAACAGTTTGTTAAAGAACAAGGCATTGCTACTTTTCTCACATGAACTCACGATCTTCAGTGAATAAATTCAAGAGTTTTTTCACACAAAGCTATCTTGTGTCTTCAGAAGGCTTGAAATATAGTGCACAAGTCATATGAAATATGTTTATGATACTTGTATGGTGCATTTTTGTCATTCTTAATAATTCAGGATGAAAGGAAGTTGGAATGACACGAGAATGAGTAAACGATGACAAAATTGTCATTTTGGAGTGAAGCATTCCTTTAGCTACTGTAATTCAAGATATGACAGTGAGAGATAGAACAAAACAGAAAAGAGAGCATTAGGCTGGATATGAAAGGTTATGCCAGCAGAACATAATCACAGAGATCAGGCTTTAGTCTACCCTATTCTGAAAGAAACATGAACAATAATGCTTTGCATCCTTTTCAAGTGTCCTCCTTCCATTAAGCAGTCACTGATATTATTATACATGGCTATGGATATAACAACCTTCAGTAAAAAAAAAAAACACTTAACATTTCTTTCTTGCGACAAAGAAAGCTGCTATTGTTATGTAGAAAGGGAAGCTAAAGCTTTCATAGAAAATTCACCAGAAAGAAAAAGAGATAATGACATGCAGGGACTGTACGTCAATGTGTTTACACAGAGTTTGAAATGTTGGTTCTAATACAAACAAATGCAGTAATACGCTTTCGGCCAGGGCCCAAAATTACCACCATGTCACACTGGCCAGTGGCGAATGAATTGAGAAACT